TAGTGGGTTTTGATTGAGTTAACTGTTTTTAAAAAACTGTTTGGATTTTAATTGTGATGCAGAAGTTATAGTAACAAACATTTGGTTTTGTACAGACATTATTTCCACTCTGGTGGATAAGCTCAATAAAGGTCATATCCCAAACTACTTGTGTTTTATGTTTCTTTGATGTAATAGGAATTTTTATGCAACTGAACAATTAATAAGCATGGTTCATACCTTGGAATTAAACTTTCGTTTCATTGATTAAAATTAGATGATCTTAGAATGATTTGTTATATAATGAAATTTTAAGGTTTTGGGCAGGAGTTTTTTGTACAATGGCTGTGCATTTTCTACAGTACTAAAGATTAGGTAGGGTATAGATACATTCTACTTTCACAGAATGAATTTACAGTTTAATTTTTGAGATAGCTAAGTAGTAGACTCTGATGCACCAAAGCACTTTAAATGTATCTGAAAATGTTGCATATTCAGTATATCCCTTTAAGTTTATTCTCTGCATTTAATAGAAAAGAATACACATTTCTTTAACCAGGATGATGTAGGGGATAGCTAGGAGTCGGACTACAACCACTGATAATTACCATGTCTGATAGATAACCTTGTATACAACTGGATCTTGGGTTGACTGAAGGATCATTTTGACACCTGCCAAGTTAATCATCACCGAAAATTAAAAATATAGATGGACTGTCCATGAGGCAAATGAGTATTTTATATAATAGATATTTTGGGGGGGGGGCGGAGTGGGAAAAGGAGTAAAGCAGAAGCACTGAAGTGATTATTTTGAAAGGACCAGTTCCGATCTCAAGACAGGATAAGGTTACAGTTAACTTTTTATCAGAACACTGGCAAAATACAAATTAAGCCACTGTTTTTCTGACCTGTCAATCTAATGGTAATTTGGGTCAGAAAGATGTGTAACGACGAAGTACACAGGTTAGGGTCAAACATGTTAATGAACACCTGTTCCGGAAGCGCCGCGTAGGGACTGACGTCCTCACCTGACCAAACCTCCCCAGGCTGAGGGCCTAGAGGCGTGGTCTTCAAGTCAGGGGATTTTCCTGAAAACAAAAGCCCCCTCCCATCTGGTCGCCCTGAAGGCAGGATCTATTAATCTGCGTCCAGGTTTGAAAACCCGCGCTCCCAATGCCCCGGTATGGTCGCCGCCGAGGCGGAAACCGTGCTGGGCAGCCAGGCTGGATTTACTGGCTGCTTCCCTCTGCACTCCGCCTTCGGGGCCGTCGGCTTGCGCGGGCCCTGAGCTCAGTGGTTCCGCTCATCGGCCGCCGAGTCAGCTCGGACGCCCAGGCCTGGGAGCTCGGTCCCCGGGCCGGGAGGGATGCGGCTCGCGCCCCAGCGGCCTGCTGGGGGCGGGGAGGCCGCCGTGAGGAGGCGGAGCTGCGAGGCCCTCCCGTCCGCCACCCGGGCCGCTGCCGCCGCGGTCCCCTGCGCTCCTCCCTGCTCTCCGCCGCACGCCCCCACCCGGGCTTGGTCTCGCCTTCTCCGCGGCGGCGGTTTCCGCCCCTCCTTAACTGCGCTACCAGAGGAAACGGAAGAAGGCGCAAGCAATGGAGGGGAACCGGGATGAGGCGGAGAAATGTGTCGAGATCGCCCGGGAGGCCCTGAACGCCGGCAACCGTGAGAAGGCCCAGCGTTTCCTGCAGAAGGCTGAGAAGCTCTACCCGCTGCCTTCGGCCCGCGGTGAGGACCTCAGCGGCCTTGGCCGCCGCGTAGCCCGCCCCCAGCCCCCATCATCGCCCCTCCAGGGAGCCGGCGGAACCCCGGGGTCCCCCGACCCCGCCGCGGGGCCCAGGAAGGAGCATCCCGACACACCCCCCACCCCGACCCAGCTGGGGGCGCCCCGGGCCAGGTTCTTAATGTGCACCTGCCTGCCTGCCTGCGGGCCGCTGACAGGCGGAGGCTGCGGGTTCCCGCATCTGGTTAAGTGCAGCTCTCACCCTTTGGGATGCTCGGTCCCCTTCTACCTTCCTGGAGCTTTCTAGCTACATGTTTGGTTGTGTGGCCTCCTTCCCCGCTCTTCACCCCCAAATTAGGCCCAGGCTCCTAACGAAGTGAGAGAAACGGGAAACTGCTGGTTAATTTACAGATCTCGGGTTCCACCGGCCTTGGGGTAGGTAGAAAATAGTTCCCAAAGCAAACATTTTCAATGCCTGAGATGACATTGTTTTTTCTTGGGAGAGATAGACTTTCTCTTGAAGAAAAGGAATAGGACAGGAATCATCACGAGTCAGTAATTTACTGAATATTATCCTATTTGTTAACACCATGATTATTAGCAGACAAAGCACATCTCCAGGGAATAAAAGACTGGCATTTTTTGGGTTGAATGTCATTCATTGCACTAATCGCTAGTTTTCAAAATAGTAGTAACTAACATTTATTGAGCACTTACAAAGTGCTGAGAGTTGTGACAAATGAATATGAATTATTTTAGTCCTTCTCAACAGTTTTTCATACAGGAGCCATTTGACCGGGTACCCATCTAGAAACAGGCCGATGAGTGAATGAATGAAAATATGCAAGGTCACAAATATATAGCGAGAAAGTCAGAATTAGACTTCAGATGGTTCTTAGCCATTACGCTTTTCTACCTTGACAATGGATGTTTTACGTGAGTTTCCAACTGTTAACAGGTTAAGACGTTATTGCTATATTAATTATGTGAGGTTACCTGTTTTATTATTAAATTTTTCTCTATTGTTGTAGCGTTTGTGCTCTGCTTTTCTATTTCTTATTATTGCCATTAATTACTAGGGAGAACAGGAAAGAGAAGTGAAGAAAAAGAAGTAACACATTTTTAATCTTTCCTACTGCATGAACAGGGAGAGTAATCAGAGCGTTGTACAATTTAATGGGTGATAGTGGTGGTGAATTCCTCTAGGTCGTATAGCCCTGGTGTATAAGTTGAAGTTGCCGTACTGCGGTAACTTGTGGTTGCTTTGAGGCTAAACACTGTGACACTGATGTGTCATATGCGTTAATGGTTGGTCACCCAATGCGGACAGAGAGTAGGGTGGAGCTCCCCGATTAAAACAAGCTTGGAAGCAGGAGTGGCATCCACTTCCATAATAGCTTGCCTCCGGAAACCCTATGAACCTGGAGAGAGGACGAATGACACCCAAGCATTGAGGACTCCACGGCACTTAACAACAACAACGACTGCATGATCAGAGCCCCCAGGGTAGCACAGTTGAGCTGTGCTACTAACCAAAAGGCAGTTCTGATCCACTCCGAAGCAACTCTGGGAAGAAAGTTACCTGTTTCCCGAAGATCAACGACCATTGAAAACCCTACGTGTGCACAATTCTACGCTGAAACAAATGGGCCCCATGGAGCACAATTGTACTCTGAAATAACATGAGGTTTCCATGGATGGGAATTATCTTGGCAACAACTGTTTTGTTGGTTTTTTTTACTGTATGAATGCATTCTTAATAGTCCATATTCAGTCCTAGAAGGATGATGATGGCACTGAAGAGGGTAGGCCCTTAAGATAGAATGTCTTGGGCCTTAAAAGCCTGGCTCCCCTATTTTTGGTTGTTGTTATGTACTGTTAGAATTGGAACTGATTTAAAGCACTCTCCAGTGGGTTTTCAGAGACTGTATATCTCAAGGGAACAGATTGCTCATCTTTCTTCCATAGAGCAGCTAGTGGATTTGAACCAATTGTGTTTTGGTTGGCAGCACAACTTCTTACCCTCGAGGTTACCAAAATCTTATCCATTTACTTTTGAATATAATGTTGTCAGTCTAGAGACTAAGGTGAGCATGATCCAGGCCGTGGTCTCACTTGCTATGCATCAGAGAGCTGGACAGGGACTAAGGTTGACAGAAGAATTGATTCCTTTGAGTTGTGGTGCTGGAGAAGAGTATTGACCATACCATGGACCGCCAGGAGAACAAATAGGTCTGTCTTGGAGAGAGTAAAACCAGCTTTTTCCTTGGAGGCAAGGATTTTTGAAGCTCTAGCTTACATACTTTGGGCACATGGCTAGAAGGGACCAGTCCTTGGAGGAGGATGTTAAACTTGAAAGGGAGGAGGGGACCCTGGATGAGACAGATTGGTAAGATAACAGGGGCAATGGGAGCAGGTGTGTTGGAGACAGTGAGACTGGTTCAGGATAGGGCAGAATTCAGAGCTGTTGTCCATAGGGTCACTATGAGTCATGGGTAACTCGATGGGACATTAACAACAACAACAATCTTTATAATCTTGTGTAAGTTAGTCTCTATCCCCTTTCATCTAATAATGTGGGTACGGTAACGTAACAAACTTACAGCACTATTATTGTGGGACTAAGTGAATTAATAGACTGAAATCTATGAAAGTCTTAATTTGTTGGGACTGCCCTGTTTTCTCAGATACTGCAAGGTTTTGACCTCTGACACTGAGTGCAGTGATACCGTTTTTTATTCTCAATGAATGGAAAAAGTTTGTGGTTGGGTTTTTTTCCCACTAGAATAATTTTTTTAATTTTAATAATTTTAATGAACATTTGCAGAGATTTTGGATTTTCATTCATTAATTGCTGCACTTCTCTCCTTGCCCAGCCCTCCACCCCTACCCCCCACCCCCAGTTCACTCCTCTCTTTGAAAAGTAAAAGAAAAACTCCCTCCCTGGAAAATTTTGTGTTTTCATTGATGGCGTCATGCTTTATACAGGTTCTAGCTTTCACAAATTTTACTGTGAAATAAATAATTATACTTAAATAACATGTGTAGAACTGTTCATATAGAGGAAATATTTTTAAATATATGAGTAAAAGTCAGTAGTACATGTATGTGATTGCCAAATCAGGTAATTTAGTTCAGTTGTGGTATAGTCTGAACACTTCTGTTTAGATGCAGATTTTGCTTCTTAATAGCTTTTCAGCAGGGACCACTTAATTTAACTTTTATTGCCCTTTAGTTGTATGAAAAATGAAGATTTCTGTCCTAATTTAACTGAAAGTGAGACTTAGCTGAAATAAAATTATGTGTAAATGCTTAGCACTGTGTATTTTGCCTAGAACATTCTGGGAGGATGCTTCCTAAAATAATTTAAGAAGTGAGGGGAGAAAAGAACTGCAAATGCTCTAGCATTTGTAGAAGATCCTAATCAATAAAAGGTTTGATGTATGAGGAAATAGAAAATATTGGCTACAATGAAAGTTTTAAAAATATCAAGAAGACAAAGATTCTCACCACTGGATAAATTGACAACATCAGGATGGATGGTGAAGAGAGTGAGATTGTTCACAACTTTAGTTTGCTTGACTCCACAGTCAATACTCTTGGCACCAGCCACCAGGAAATTAAAAGACGTACTGAAATGGGAAAGTTTGCTATTAGGGACCTCTTCAAAGTGCTGAAGAGCAGTGGTGTCATTCTGGAGACTAGGGTGCACATGATACAGGCCATGATCTTTGCAATCAGTTGTTGTTCTTCAGAGAGTTGGGCAATGACTAGGGAAGCTAGAAGGAGAATTGATGCCTTTGAGATGTGGTGTTGGAGAAGAGTATTAAATGTACCATGGACTGCTAAGAAAACAAACAGGTTCATCCTGGAGAGGGTTAAACTGGGCTGCTCCTTGGAGGCAAGGATTCTGAGGCTCTGTGTGACATATTTTGGACATTTTGCAAGGAGGGACAAGTCCTTGGAGGGGGACATCATGTTTATCAATCTAAAATTTGATTGAATGTGCTTATGGCTATATTTTTATATTAAGATAGGTAATCAGCTTCACAGGCTTTGGATTGATAAGGGTCTTCTGATTGTAATATAGCAATCCCTGGTGGCACAGTGGTTAATGTTCCCATCTGCTTACCAAAAGGTCAGTGTTTTAAATGCTTCAGTCTCTCTGTAGGAAAAAGACGTAGCAGTTATTCTGTAAAGATTTACAGAAGCAGAAGTGGCGTCCACTTCCATAATTGCTTGCCTCTGGAAAAAGGATGAAAGTCACACAGATGTTGAGGACTTTCGTTCATAGGGTTTCTATGAGTCGCCTATGTCTCGACGACACTTAACAAGGAGAAAGAAGATTGGTAAAAGAAAACATTACATTTTTATTTTCATTATTCTTATACTCATTCGCTCATGGTCATTGAGTCAGAACCAATTCACAGCTTTAGCAGGTTTTTAGAGGCTGTAAATTACACTGGAGGAGAGTGCTCATCTTTCTCCCTCAGAGTCTCTGGCTCATTTGATCTACTGGAAAGGCATTACCTTTATATTAGCAGTGTAGCTTGCTACAGACTATATATATCATTAGAACCAGCACTCTCTTCTGACACCGCAATGGAAAAACTAGAAACAAAAGTCTAATTTAATTTAGGATTTTATACTCCTAGGTTTTGTTTTTTTTTTCTATTGAGGTAGGAAATTTCATTGATAAACATTTTTTAAAATTGGCAAGTTTTCTTTCAACAAAAAGATTTAATGTCTAAATGAATATAGGACATTGTTGCTTTCTGTGATTTTAGTTAGTAGTTTTAAAATTTATATACTGTAGTAGATTTGTAATTTTCAGCTTTTGGGTATTTCAGCTTGTGAGTTTAAATTTGTAAATATTTCTAATTTGATTAGCTACCACATAGGAAATATAAATGCTCTGGGAAAATAATGCCAGTCATGAGGAAATAAATTACATTTTAGTTTTTCACACTATCAGTCACTGGATTATTGCTGTGTTTTAGATTTT